GGAACTATGGTTCTGTCGATTCAATTGCTTCTACCTTTGTTTCCTTGCTTTGATGGCTTGGTTGACGACTCATTTCCCGGTCCTTGCTGGAATCCACCAAAACCTTCATCTTCGGTTACAGGTTGAGCCTGGCCTAGCGACGACTGTTGACCTATGGGTTCCAGGAGGCCAGACTCAGGGGTCTGCGGGGTGTTCGCTGGGGGTGTAGGACCTTGAAGAAAGTCCCCAAAACCATCATCCTCTGCTGCAAACAGAGTTCAATCATTCTTCTTAAGAAAAACTTTGACACTTGATGACTGATGGGGAAAATGCATATTGTATTGTCCAAGAAAGAACCCTCTTTACAGATTGTTGATTCATAGACTAAGTTCAGGAGATGTCACTGCTACAACAAGACTAAAGAAGTGACTTAGAACTCTAAAGGTTCCTTTTCCTTTCTCAGTGCTTTGAAACAGGGCTTGCTCCAAAAAAGACAATGAAAACTTGTCATATCTCATTTGAAATGTTCCCAAACAAAGGGTTCAAACAGAAAACTGGTATTTTGAAGGTTCTCTTTTAGCTACTATCCTTCTCACCTGTCTCAGTTGTAGGCAGTGGACTCCCACCTACAGCTCCTCCTCCTGATTTGACTTGCCCCACCTCCTTTCCTGCTTTCCCTCCAGTTCCTTTACCAAACATCTCATCGAGGTTGAGGTTGATGCTCAATGAATCCACTGATGCTGCTTTGCCTCCAACTTTGCCCAGCTGTTTCAGTTTCCGCTGCTGTTCCTGAAAGTATCGTTCCTTCTTTGCTTGTTCTTCCGTCTTCTGCTGCCGCGCAGCTGCCTTCGTGTGGTGACTGCAAAATCGATGAACTACATAAAAAACCTACTGCACTATCAGGTTTTTCTGATCAAACACGTACTTCAATTAAGGGCTGGGTCTCAAAAAATCATGATAGACTAGGACATGGGTGTCACCTATACAATGTACCTCAAGTTGACTGATGTTTCTGACTTGAACTTAAGAGAATAGAAAGGTAAAAATACACCTGATACCAACTCTTAGCAGAATGAGAGTCTTGTAAATGAAGTCTTTACGAAGGATACACAAGACAAGAAGATTTTAGTAGCTGCAATGGCATGTGCCTTTATTCCTACAGGAACATCCAAGCTCTATCAGAGTATCAACTTGTACATGTAACTTGTTATGCTTTCTGTTTGTTCCTCACCTTGATTGAGGAGCTATTTGCTGTTGTATATGAGGTGCCATCTGCTGTGGTTGACCTGTAAACACCTGTTGCTGTTGTTGATAGGCCATTGGTTGCTGCATGTTAACACCATGCTGCTGATGCTGCTGGAACATAAGAACGCAAGTTGGACATTAACCAGAATTCCCTGGCCAGTCTGGTAAGGAGCACGCTTCATTATTCCGTAATCTGTGCTTCAACAGTATTGTGATATCAAGTAACTGTAACAACCAGCTGCATGTACATGTACATATGCGTAGAGTCCTAAACCCATCCAAATATTGCAAAGCCAACGGTTACCTTTCAGAGCTTCTCTACCAGCTAATTAAAATAAATTCTGACAATGAAATTCTATGTTGTTCTCTACTTGGAAAAACCCTGAGCTTTGTGATCACACAACCTGAGGCAATACCTGACCCGGGAACATCTGAGGTTGAAATGGTCCTTGCTGTGAAGTCATTCCCTGTTGCATCATGGGATATCTCTGGGGTGTCACACCAGGGTAGGATGGACGTTGTTGGATGTACTGCCCTCCACCTGGTCTAGGTTGCTGCTGCTGGCCAGGTAAACCAATGTTCATGTTACCTGTGCATGGATTTGTTAAAAAACAGATATTGCTTAGAGCACAGATTATTTTCAATTATACAGATTCAAGTACTAAACAGGATGCAAAAATTTAACAAGAAAGAAATGATTAAACATGACCGCTAAACCTTCCCATGAACAAAATTGTCAAAAGCAGCATGCTATGAACTGTTGACCAAAGAACATTAACCCTAACAGTCCCAAATCCTCCGATTTCAATATGATTTTACATAAACCCTAGAGGGTTAGGGTTAATAAGTAAGAATCACAATACTGACATGGAATAAATGTCATCAACATATGAAATATACAGCAATTAGACTATACCCAGATATTAAAATCACAAATTCACAGTTCACAATACATGTAAAATATTAAATGAATATGCAATTTAGAAGTGTTTGACAGTTTTCACTGGAAAGGAAAGAGAAACCACAATGAGGAAACAGGAAGTGACAAAAGCAACAACGTGTACATTGTATGATACAGTGATATCATTTTTACAAGCACTAAAAATATGTACAAAATGGCCAAAGGAGAAGTACATCGAAACTGTGTCTGCAGTAACAAAAATACCTGCAAGGACT